TATGCAATAATTTATTCCGTCATTGTAGAAAATATTGAGATTTCTTTCCTTTTAACTGTGAAAGAACGGGAAAAAACCCTTCGAAGAAACAATTGAAGGACAGCGCATAAGAAAATAGCGCTGGGTTGTTTCCAGTCCCCTTCTAATTTCGGTTTCTAATTTTTGCCTACTACAAAATAGCGCGCCTGCATGGCTTAGAGCACGGATTAATTAGGTACCGTATTTTCTTGATTAAACTTCAGGCCTTGAATCCGACGGTTCTAAGTCAAGGAATCACGGTGATTAGCTACATTCACAATCAACGTCTTGGTAGCTTGCGAGGTCAGTCTTCTTCCGAGCAGCGAGGAGAGTCTCCCCATTCTCCTAACGGATCGGATACACTCGGCCAAGCCAAATGTTCATGGCTATGGAGACTACCTTTTTGGTGACGTTCCTCACCATCAAATATGGCGCCCAAACCGGTTTAAATTACTTAAGAACTGCTTCATCGTCACTATCGCCTTTTCCTTGAAAGTCCATTCTCTCCACATAATGGCTGAGAAGCGGATGCTCAGAGTCCATGCTTTCGCGGCCACTACCTTCTCCATCGGTTTCGTCATCAGGAGCGAAAAAATCTGCAATCCTCGGGGGTTCCGCTACTGTTGAACTGCGGGGTTTATCCGGAAGAGCATGTACTGTGTCGTCAGTTTCCTCGTCAGTTGTTGTGAAGAAATCTGCAATTCTTGGAGGTTCTGGTACCGCTGGCCTGCGTGGTGTGCCTGAAGACTCAGATGCCGAATCGTCTTTTCTTTTGTCGTTGGCTTTGAAGAAATGTACTATCCTGAGCATGTGGGTTGCATTTGAAGGGACAGGCACTATTAAATCGTTTTCGTCGTCTGTGGTTTGGAAGAAATCTGCAATCCTTGGAGGTTCTCGTACTGCTGGTCTGCCATCCTCATCTGAAGAAGCATGCGCTGTGTCGTCATTTTTCTCGGCGGCTTTGATGTCGGCCACACTCGGAATGTATTGGATTTCCTCCATTTCAATAAGTTCTTCCTTGTGTCTACAGTGTGAGTCGCTGCCACAAAAGGTATCCTGATGATTCTTCTAGTTTTCTTCAAGGTGGTGATCATTTTCATATTTTCCACTCCGACATTTCCTAAGTCGACCAAGCAAAGGTTTCTTTCTCTCCACTTCAACTGGTTCTTCAGTGCTCTCTTCAAATGAGACAGATTCCTGAGACTCTTGCAGTTGCATGATTTCTTCCTCAGAGAGCTCCATCCTGTCCCTTTTTTTCCATCGAATAAAAAAATGAATATTCAACAAAAGCGAAATTATGACAATCGCCAACACTGGCATCAGTACGGAAATATTCGCCCATCCAACTTTTCCTTGAGGATTTTCCTTATGATCTGAAACAAGAAAACAAAAGTTTATCCAAGATCAACGACAATAGAAAGTGATTCTTAATATGCTGGGGCGGTTACGATGCAATAGGTAAACATTAAACTATCAACTGCCATAACCGTAGCTAATTGGGTGATTTTAAGTCGTGCATACAAAAAGCTGACAACCGCTATGTCGAAATCTCTCGAGCTGCTAGGGAAAAACGAAAAACAGTTCGAGATTATGGAGGATCGAGATAGATAGCCGATAGTAAATGACTGAGAAAGCGAATCCATGGAAAATTGATTTGAGTCTGAGATAGCAGGAAATTCGAGATAACCAAGTTCGAGATATATAGCGAGGTTCAATCTTAAAGGAGCTATGTCACGGTGTGCGCACCTCGAAAAGTTTAGCCGAAGTTATGTCAAGTTCGTCTTTTGTATATCCTTGTTAATCTTCTCCATCCTCAACC